ATAACCTGATAACTGCTATTCTGTTTGTCTTGTACTCTGTATAAGACATAAAACTAGGACAGTAGCTTCTCCCAAAGTTTTTGATTTTGCTGGTTTGATTTTCTGTGATGTTGTGATCACTCAAGGCCCCCATTTGCCTCCCTTAGGCAAGAGCTCCACAGAACTTCTTAGCTTTGGCCTCCTTCTCGAGGATGTAGCTGGGATGCCAAGGGGACCGGGAGCCGGGTCCCTGCACAATCAAGGCTGGGAGACAACAGTCAGAGTTTCTGAACAGAGCCAAGGTCCAGAGGTGAACAGAGGTGCAGCCTACCCGTGGGCCCCTCTATCAATCGAGCCCGGCTCTCTGCTGAGGAGAGGGGTCCCCAACGCTAAGATGCCCGCATTCCCTTTCTTGTCCTCCACCCTCCAGTGCTGATGAGCAGGAAGACCCACAGCACAGGCTCATCTCTAACCTCATCTTCTTGTCCAAGTCTCGGTTACTGGCTCCCTGTCAAGTAAGTGTGAGGACCAGTGGCAGATAATCACCTTGTACATTTCCGGATTGACGGTAAGATGGCGCCCCGGGGAGGAGCTGCGTTTCTCTAGGGGCATTTCAATCAGTGGCCTGCTTTCCTCTCTGGACTCGGAGGATGAAGGAGTAAATGAGGAAATGATCTTCCATTCCTTGTAAGCCTGAATAACAAAGACACATTAAAGACCAGCAGAATACACTTCTGAAGCTTACACCCAGCCTCCCCAGGCCTTGCGGAGAATTGAGACCCCTTCTCCTGACATGGGGGCCAGGCCTTCAGCCCCAGCCATGAGGAGGGGGCGTCCTGTGGCCTCAGAGTGGGGGTCAGGGCCCAGGCAGAGATCAGGGCAGCTACCGGGGAGACAGCCCCAGATGCTGGGCCAAGACAGCCGCGAAGCAGGCACACGTGCTCACTTCTAGGGGGAAGGCTCAGGGCCCGAAGTGCTCGCTGCAAGCATTTCCACAAGCAGATGGAGAGAGGAAACCAGCGTCCTCACCTCTTCTCACAACATGTTTAAGTCTCAGTCATTAAGAAACATGGGACAAACTGTCCAAACTAAATGATTCAACCAAGGATGGAGAAATTCGGGAGCCTTGGGGTACACTATGCAAGATGGACTCTGGGCTCAGACAGAACGCAGCATGGCACAGTCCACCTACTTATGAGCTGTGTGACCTTGACCAAACATTTATTTGCTTCTTCTAGGTCTCATTTTTTTTTCTGTAAAACCGGGATGATAGAATGATCCAGGTTTGTTGGGAAATGAAAGGAGATAATCAATGTGAAGTGTCCACACCATGCTTGAGAAAGACTTCATATTTTAGCCATTTTTCCCTTTATCCAAATCAAGCCACAGAACCACTGTGACTTGTAGACCAGGGTCTGTAAATTTTCTTGCTCAAGGGTCAGATAATGACTCCTTTTTGCTTTGTGGGTAGGGTCTCCCTTGTAACTACTCCACTCCACCCTTGTAGAGCAAAAGCAGCCACAGTCCGTAGTAAATGAACGGGCGTGCAGGGACGTCATAGAACGTTATTTCTTGATGCTAAAACTGAATGGAATGTAATTTTCACATGCCACAGAATATTATTTTCCTTTTGATTCTTTTTTAACCATTTAAAAATGTAAAAACCATTCTGAGCTCATAGGCCACACAAAAATAGACAGCAGGCTGGATCTGGGCGCCGGGCCTTAGTTTGCAGACCCTGAGGAGGCAAAAGCGCCCAGATGACGTGCAGTATTTAGAGTCAAGGATTCCCATGAAATTTCAGATTTCATACTTCAGTGTGTCGGGGAGAGTAGGCGGTCAGCTCTCCTAGTCTGTTCTTTTCTGTTTATAAAATGATGTTATTCTCCACCTCTGTAGCCTTTCAAGGATGATGGAAAGGCAGGGTAGGTAGAGGTTTTCACCTCCCTTCAGTTATTCTGTAACTTAAACTATATAAACACTAGGTTAAGTGCTTTAAACACCATCTCCTCAATAGGAACGTTCTGCTACTGACCAATTAGGGAACTGATCACGATGTTATGGGTCCTTTGAAGAGAAGACTCGCAGGTCAGGGCAACAAGAAGCCCCTACACACACACACACACGCACACACACAGAAGCACAGAGTGAGCCTGCTAGACACATGGGTGGAAGACGAGTCCAGGGATGGAGAGAGGTGCTCGCCTCAGTCCATCTGCCTCAAATAGCAAACTGTTCAGCAGCCTTCACCCTGAAAGAAACCCCATGTGAGCAGCCAGACCAGGACGACTGGGGACTTCAGTGACCCCTGTCTCTCCTCTCCTTGGACTGAAGCATCTACTCCCATTTGCACTGATGCCTTTTGGTCTTGGGGTCGTAAATGATAAACTGAAGGTGTGCTTTGCGCTGGGGAATGCATGACTCTACTCCCATGGCAACTGGGAAGCATCACATCAAGATTATAAACATAGGATGAAGTGGATGTTACAAAAGATTCAACTGGTGATTGTTTTAATTTCATGCAACTCACTGAGCCATTGGTGGGAGCTTAGGGTCAAGGCATCCAGGACTCTGCCGTGCTAGGGTCAAGGTTAGAGAGAATAACCAGATTTTTCTTTCATACACAGAGTTGACCACAAGTTACCAATGTATCAGCTCAGAGCTCCTGGAGCTTCTAACGAGCACAAGCATACAACTGGTACTTCATAAAAGACAGGAACAACAAAGTCTTACCCCTTCCTCTTTTAGGAGAGCCTCGGTCCAACCATGACCAATGGATGTATTATGAGAAAAAAAAGTTAGTCCTCAGAGATTAAAAATGGTTCCAGGATTAATGAGAATGTATCTCATTTTATTAGCAAAAGCCAATAGAAAAGGAATGCACTTAAAGGATGGCTATGATATATTCATTGTGGAAGGTTCTGGCAGCTGATTTGCATGCAGGGCTTTAAAAGGAAGGAAGTTTAGGGGAAAGATCATGAGATTTAGAACTCAGAGCATCTGACTTCATCTCCAGGCTCTGGCACCTACATTATGACTATGGGAAATTTACTTAATGTCCATGACCCCCGGCCTTATCTGTAGAATGGGGGTAATAAAAATACAACCTCAGAGGGTCAGTGGAGGATGAACTGAGACAATGTATTAAAAAAGCACATTATAAACTGTAAAGTGTCCGTAGCAATATTAGTCGTAGGTATTATCAAGGCAAACGTGACATTTTTTAAAAGACTAGACAAAAGAAAAATATGGACTCCATTCAAAGGGTTAGTTCTGGGGCAGATTTTTAGGGAGTCAAAGCTAAGAGTGCTCCTGACTTGGGTATGAAAATAGCCCCTTCGAGCACACGCCATGTGCAGTGCGACATCTGCAACGAGGACCCGGGCACAGCCAACTAAGTCCCCAAAGAAGACCCCACCGCACAGTCAGCAGCCAGCCTGAGCCCCATCAAAGATGGTGGTGAAGAGACACCAGTGGCTAGGAGACTGAGGACAATGGCCTTGAGTTGGTGGCTCTCCCTGTAATGTACTGAGCTGGAGGAGAAAGACCGTCACCAGCACTCAGGAGCCAAGATGAAACAACAGGCTGGCACAGAGGTCACTGAGTTGTCAGTCCAGGGACTCTCAGGCTGCCATTGCCTGCAAGCAGTGGTGGCGAAGCCATGCCGGAAGGAAGCTCAGGCGGGGCGGCTGTTCTCGTCTCCTGCGTTACCTGATCCCGGGGGCAGGAACCAAGGCTCATTTGTCTTCCCGGAGTTCACTCTCTCTAGGAATGACCTTGCCCAGTTTTGTCCTCGCCAGGTGGACACTGCTAACCTTGCCTTCATTTGTAAGGCTCTCATTAGAGCTTGCTCCAACTCGAGCATCCTCGGGAGTCAAGGATAACAGTCGTAGGGAAAACCGGAAGCTGACACTTGGGTACCAGGCCTTGAGAAGAGATGAATACAAGAGAGCAGGGAAGGGCAGGGCACGGGAAGAACTAGGTCACGAGACACTGCGGAGCAACCCACAGCCCTTGTCAAAACCCACATCCAAACACACAAAGAGCCCCACACCAAATGGACAATGGTCCAAAACAGAAACAGGCACCTGTGACAAACTCTTTTCGACTCAGCTCCAAATTCTCTTCCCAGGAGTGGAAGGGTAGCTCATACAGATACATGCACTGTGGGAAAAGAATTCAGAATGACATACCTCGGAATCAGTGAAAAAGTTGTAAAGGAGGACATCGTCAAATTCTAAGCCCTTTGCTTCATAAACTGTTAGCACAAGCGCTAACCCCAGCTCTTCTGGAATTTTCTCCTTTGCCATTTCATTGGCTACAAGGATCACCTGAGGGGAAAAAAAAAGGCGAGGGAATAGAAGAGAAAAAACATCAAATTGTAGAAAAAGAAATCTAGTAACACTGAGTCGATTTCTATGGGAGGCAGAGAATGTCTTTGAAGAGAAGTACCGGTGTGGACTTGGTCAGCCAGGCTGGTGGGACTGTGAATAACAATTAGTCACTCACCCATCCCGGAAACTTCCTCATTTTGGAACAGGGGCTATTGAGTTCTACCTAGTGGAATGACTCAGCTTCTCAAAACTTTTTTCAATCACAAACTGCCTTTTATTTTATTTTATTTTAAAAAATTATTTATTTTATTTTAGTGGAGGTGGGGAGGTAACTAGGTTTATTTATTTTTAAAGGTACTGGGAAACTGAACCCAGGACCTCGTGCACGCTAAGCATGCACTCTACCACTTGAGCTGTACCCTCCCCACTTCGCCTTTTATTTAAAAACATACAGTCTCAAGAAACTCACCTGATGGGCTCCAAATTCGATGGGCTGGGTTTTCCTTTTGTTGCCTCGAAGCAATATTGCCAAGTCACTCACACTACAAGACTCCAGGACAATTGGTTTGGGACCATCGAAGAGGCCAGAATCCCTTGTAAGGCGATCAAAAGATTCCGGGAAATAGAACTTAAGTAAATCTATCACTCCAGATGCCAGATTGAGGATTCCTGGGATAAAACAAAAAACTTGTAACATACAACATGACAGCATGGCTGGGTTACCTGTATTCTGTTTTCTTATTTTGGGTTTTGTTTTGTTTTGTTTTTCCTGAGAAGCAGCATTGGTCCTGATGGTACATCCAGCTAGCTGCAAGCCCATTTCCAGATCCTATTAGATGATCCCTTTGGCGCCGAGCTGTACTATTCTGGGTGCAGTAGATGAAGACAGAGATATGTTTGCTGTAGCATGAAGGTTTTGTACAATCTCCTTCCTGACCTATATTCGTGTTAGAGAAAATTACCTCATGAAGAAGAGTCAAGGCGGAAATGTAATCTAAACAATTAGAGCTGTTAGAATGCCAATACAGGCGGCTAATGTAGACAGTAAAAAAGCAAGAGTTATTGCATCCCCTGTCATTGGTACGTAGCGCACCAGAGACGCTACCTGGTAAGAGCAGTGCTGGTTGTTAGCTGGGACATCACCCTTTCTGCCAGGTGTATTCCCAGCCGAGACAGGACTATACTAAGAAAAACTGTCAGACTGGATAAAGAACTTTCCATTGAGCTTTCTCCCTGGGTCCCATTTTTGTCTAAGCACTGAAGTAACACCGACAGTGATGCTGACTGTACAACAGGCACCTTCCTAAAAATCGTCCCTTTTTAATCCTCCCAACAGCCCGCTGAGACAGACCAGACAACCCCACTTTTGCAAACAGAGACTCTGAGGTCCAAGAAGTTAGGAAACACCTCCAAGTGTCAGGATTTGAAGCTGGTCTGAACACAGACCATCCTGGGTCTCCCACTATTCCCAGGGGCCCTGTGCCGTTTGCTCAACACCAGATAGAATACTATGAAATGGGCACATGTGTCCCCATTGCAGTTATCAAGGAGTAAAGGGAAATTTCATCATCCAGGGCTACTATTATCAAAAGTACACAGTCTAAAGAAATCGAAAGCACAAGTTGAAACTGTTGAATCTAATCTAACTCAGCTGATATTGTGGTTCAGAGATTTACATTAATGAAAGAATCAGAAAAAGGCACGTAAGTGTTCACTGTGGTGAAAAACTGGAATCCACTTAAAGGACCTTCTAGGGAACTACATAAATTATTTTATATAAACATACTCGAAGAATAAAGGATGATTCAGCCACAAAAAACATGAAGTACTAACACAGGCTATAATACGGAAGAACCTTGGAAACATGATGTGAAATGAAAGAAGATGGGTATAAAAGGTCACATGTTGTATGATTCCATTTATCAGAAATGTCCAGAATAGGCAAATCTAGAAAGTAGACTGGTAGTTCACAGGGTTAGGGGAATGAGGAGAGACTGCTAATGGTTTTAGGGTTTCTTTTTGGGGTGACAGAACTGTTCTGGAATTAGATAGTGGTTATGATTGCATAACCTCATGAACATATTATTTAAAAAACCCCACCAAGTTGCATATTTTAGACAGATGAATGTTATGCTGTGTGAATCTCAATTTAAAGAATAAAAAATGGGGAAATATTCACTAAACATATATTCACTACATAATCAATAAATACATACATGCATGTGATAAATGCATATATGTATAAGTACAAAGATCAGGAGGAAATAAAACAAAATGTTAGTTGTTAGCAGCCTTACAGGGAGCTTGAATTTTTTTTTTAACATTTTATGTGTTTTCTAGCACATCTTATTGGGGCTTTTTCTGGTTCTATACACAGAAATCACACAGCCTTCCCTCCATCCTAAGAGAAGAGGTGGAGGGAGGGCATAGCTTAAGTGGCAGAGTGCATGCTTAGCATGCATGAGGTCCTGGGTTCAATGCCCAGTACCTCCTCTAAAAATAAATAAATAAACCTAATTACCTCCCAGCCACCAAAAACAACAACTAAGAGAGGAGGTGGGAGATGGGGTTTATGCAGTAATCATCTGTGTGGGTTGCTTAGCACAGCAATTTAAAAAAAAAATCAGTTTGCAGGAACAATTCCCTTCGCCAATTTATACTTTGCTGATCATAAAGGCTGCTGTCCCTATACCAGTGGTGCTGAACCAGGGGTACACATCAGAATAAGGGGCTCATTCAACTGCTCGTGCCAGGTCCTCTCCACAGGATCCAACAATGAAAAAGGGGGTGCCTTCCAGAGCCATGCCCTGAGGACAGAGAAATGTGGGTTTTGGTCACCCAGCCCCTCCAACAGCGTTGGGGGATAGGAGTTCTATAAATGCTTCCTGAACGAAGAAGGGCAGCGACTAAAAATTCCTATTAAGAGCATCAAATTCCTTGGGCCAGTTCTTCCCATACAACACAAGTGGAAGACCACGGAAGGCCACGAAGCTGAGTTGCTCAGAGGCATCCAGACCCTGTGATGGACAAGCAACATCAGGAGACTTTGAGAGCCCTGGAAACCGGGCTGAGCTGTGTGGTACATGCTGCACTCTGGGAGGCCACCTGGCTTCTGACCGTTTTTCTGAATCCTTGGCTACACAAATCAGAATTTTAATCTAATTTTACACTGGATGTATGTACATGGGCGAGTGTGTATGTGTATGTGTATATGTGTGTTTGGGATGTGTGTGTTTTCTCTCACCATCAAACTATAGCCTACCAAATGTGTCTAGAAAAAGAGAAACCAGGGGGAGGATATAGCTCAGTGGTAGAGTGTGTGCTTAGCATGCACGAGGTCCTGGGTTCAATCCCCAGCACCTGCATTAAAAAATAATAACTAAATAAACCTAATTACTACACCCCCCAAAACAACAACAACAAAAACCTACATCAGGCATAAATACTGAAATGTTAGAAATATTCCCATTAACTTCAGGAATAACACAGGAATATGACAGGAAAAAGAAATAACAAGTATAGAAAAGAAGATGAAAACTGCCCTTATCTGCACCAACATGCCAACTTCTAACAGGCAGAAGTAGGAGGAGTGTTCAGCAAGATTGTGAGATACCAGATCAACATACAAGAACCAGCAGCTTTCCTCTCTACCAGTAAGACGTGAATGGGAAAATATAAAAAGAGAAAAAAGGTATAGCCATGATTATGACAAAAAGTATAAGGTCCCCAGGACAAATCTAACTGCTGAGGAAAATGTCTGGGGAAAATTATAAAATATCACGAAAAGGCAGTAAAAAAAAAAAAATCTAAATAGAGAAATATGCCGAGGTTCAGAAATCCCTATAATGTAAAGATGTGTATTCTTCCCAAAGACAGAAATTGAATGAAATTCCAATCAAAAACACAAAGAGTCACTGGAGAAGTCTGATAATACAGTAAGACAGTATGATAGTAGCATAAGAACACGGTGAGCATTCTATAAATGATAAAGGAAATATTCTGGCATTAGTGTCCCACTATTTCAACCCTCTGTGTCTTTGTAAAATGGGAATGACGCCTGCCTTGTAGGATTGTTGTGAGGATTAAAAGCAGGTACTATATGTGCTCAGCATCGTGCTTGGCACAGAGGAGGGGCACAAGTGAGATTCAAATCAAAAGCGCCTGAGTGTGTGTCATCTCCCACCACCTCCCACCTGCCTTTTCTTGCTTCTCCTTGGAAGAAAAGCTGCTTTCAGGATTAATGATTTGTAATTGGTGAATTACTTTATCTTTCACAAGCACGTAGTTCCAAAGTGCTGTAACAAAAGTTCTCAAGCAGTTTAAACGTTCCCCTGAGATGTTTTCATACCATGGCCAACACCTTAAGATGTAATAACTTAAAGGTCCACTTCCATTTAACCACAGCTTAAATGATCAGCCTAAGAGTGAGTACTGGCAGAAATCATAAGATCTCTTTTTCATGAGGGTAACCACTAACAACTCCAAAACAGTATCCTTATTCCAGCTAGGTCAAGGGCCTGATAAAAGCTTGACCACAGCTTCAAAAGCAGCCCAAGGTCAGCGCCCAAGCACCTCCCTCGCAGGCAAGCCCAAGGCACCGACATACCCGAGTGGGACCTGTAGTTCTGGTACAGCTGGTGGATCTTCTTCGGCTTCCGCACGGCACACTGCTTGTCACCGGTGCTCTTGCTGGCGTAGTGGAACAGGGAGCGCAGGTCGCTGAAGCGGAAGGCCACGCCCTTCATGATGGTCTGGGCCGTGTCCCCGGTGAGGAACATGGCGTTGGGGTCATTGATGCATTTCATCAGCAGCGCCAGCTCGGCTTGGGTGAAGTCCTGGATCTCATCACCATAGAGCTCGTGGATGGACCACGGGAGCACCTTGACCTTCGACAGCCTCCGGGACAGGTTGTAGAGGACATCCTCTTCGTCAAAGTAACCTTTCTGAGACCTGATCTGCTGATACAGGCAGAAGAGGACGTAGATCTCGCTCCGGTCTTCCTTGAAATTGGGGGACCGCTTCCGCCCTAATTTCTTATATGCTTCTTCTGTCAGTTTCCCTTTGGGGGAGCTGAGAGCCTCAAAAGATCCCTTCAGAAAAGATTTTATTTCCTTCCAAATCAGTGCGGGGTTGTAGGAGGTTTTCCCTTTGATCATTTTTGGCCATATTTCATTGGCAAACACCTCATATGTCACAAACACCCGGGGGTCGCTGTCACACGGCCGCGTTTCCGCAGCCTTCTCCTCTTCGCCGTAGCCCTCCTCTGCCTCCGCCTCTTCCTCCTCCTCCTGCCAGTTGGGGATGGTCAGCTCTTCCTGCGTGGACCATCCTATGATGGTTCTCTTCAAGCTGCCATCTTCATTTCTCAGGAAAAATGGCTTGGGCAGAGAAGCATCAAGCAAGAGGAGCAGCTGCTTGGAGGTGACAAACAGTGGAAAGTTCTCATCCCTCAGGTCCTGGAGTCTGTGGACATTGGGTTCCAAGGGTTTGTAGTGGCTGGTGGCCTTGGTAGACTTGGAAAGCTCCACGAAATTCCTCTGCACCTCCTGGCACAGGACGTGGTTCTTGGTCACGAAGATCTGATGTAAATGCTCCAGCTGGTGGGGCTGTTCTGGGGTGCATCCCTCCGCCCCTTGCCCGGGGCCCCCAGGCTCCTCGCTGGCCCCGTGGGCACAGGCTTCAGTCTCCTGCTCCTCTTCTCCGCTGTCCAGTATTTCCACCTCCAGGGAACCTTCCTCCTCCTCCTCTTCCTCCTCTTCCTCCTCCTCCTCCTCTTCTCCCCCACCTGGACCCTCCTTTCGGGGCTCTACTTCCAACCTTCTCTTCAGCCAGATCTGTCTGGCCAGGAGAGGGCTCCCCGCCTGCCCTGCCTTCTCCCAGTAAACGTGGAATTTCTTCCACAGCCGGTACAGGCAGCAAGTGGTCTTGCCGGTGCCGCTCCGCCCGATCAGGATGATGGGCTCCAGCGGCCGGGGGTTGAGGTCGATCACGGCGTACTCGAGCTCGCCCACACGGAAGGGGTACTCCACGGTGGCCGTCGTGTCGTTGAGGATGTTGGAGGCCATGCTGGTGCTGAAGCTGTGGAACTTCATGATGTTATACTCCGTCTCCACGGCGCTGGCCGGCGGGAAGTACTCGGGCTCCGCACGCGCCCCGCTCTGTTCGGCCTCCGTGTCCTCCACGTAGCAGCGGGGAATCCGCTTCTGGATCTTCATGTTGGCCGACACCTGGCCCTTGTTGATACCCTTTAACTTCTTGCGCAGGACACAGGACAGGCCCCGGTTGTAGGCGCTGCAGATGGCCTGGATGGAGTCCGGCAGCCTGTCGTGATCCAACACGACGTCCCAGATCCGGATGATTTCCGTGTAGACCCGCCCCACCTTCTCCGAGGGGTGCGCGCCGCGCTCTGCGGCGATGATCTTCTCAGGGTTCTCGCTGCACCGAGGGGAGAAGTCGATGGCGAGCTCCCACAGCATCCGGGCCCCTTTGTCCAGCTTGGCCTCGAAGAGCTGGATGCTCCCTTTCAGGTTCCTCAGCCGCTTCCGCAGGCCCCGCGTCCACTCGCCGTTGCCCAGATTCTGGATGGCAAGGATGATTTTCTTCTTCATGACCTTGGTCATGATCTTGCTGGACAGCTTCTTCAGCATCTCCGAAGTGCACTCGATCTCCCATGTCATGTTCTCGAAGTCCAGGAGGCAGGCCTCGACCTCTGGCAGGCTCTGGTCGTCCTGGTCGTCACTGCCCTCTGTCCCCCTGTGACCAGCAGGCACGGGCTGCCGGGCCCCGAGGCCCCCATGGACGCATCCCTCCACGGCCTCAAGGGCACCAGGGTTGTTCCCACTGCTGTCAGAGGCCCCCGACCCCGGGGCGCCCTGAGGCTCCTTCTCCACTTCAGGGCCAGCTCCCGCCTCCAGAGGCTCAGGAGCCTGGGGACAAGCCTCTGAGAGGGACGGATCCATTTCCACCTGCCGAATCAAAGCCGTGATGTCCTGCACGAGGCAGTCTCTCCGTGAGCTGGGCCTGGACGCCCCAGGCTCCGGCCTCATCGCCTGGGCATCTGGGAGGGTCTCCCAGCTGTCAGGGACCACGGCTCCTCCGGGCGGGGCTCGGGCACCGCCGCCGCAGGGTGGCAACTTGGAGGAGCCCTTGATCTGGGACGTGTGAGCTGGGGCCGCGGAGCGCAGGGGCTTCCCCGCGTGGGCGGCGGTGTCCGGGCGGCCCCTGCGCCTGCTCTCCAGCAGGGCTTTGTTCCAGGCCAGGAGCAGCGCGTCGTTCTTCTTAACGCGGTGCCGCACGTCCTTGCCTTCCTTGTTCTTCAGGTTGAAGTTGATGTCAAACTTCACCAGCAGACCTATCAGCTTCCCCATGCGCTTCAGCATGCCCTTCTGGAAGAGGATGTGCATCAGCGTGTTCCCGCTGCTGTCCTGGTTGTTGGGGTTGAGGTAGTGAAATTCGCTGGGCTTGGACCAGAACAGATTCAACAGGTGATTGAGGAAGTTAAAACCGACGTCAGCTGAAAGACACAAAAACCCTGATGAGTGCTCAACAGCTCTTCTGGGGAGCACAGACCCCGTGGATTTGAGAGAGATGCCAGCCAGGGGTCCCGAGAACACGGAACTTCCCCAAGGATTTGATAACCCACTGATTCTCAACTGGGGGCGATTTGGTCCCCAACAGACATGTGGCCATATCTAGAGACATTTTTGAGGGTCACAATTTAGGAGGTACTACTGGCATATAGTGGGTGGAGGCCAGAGATTGCTAAACATCCTACAATGCACAGGTCACCCACCACACACACACAAAGAATTATCCCTCCCAACTGTCAACTGTGCCAAGGCTGAGAAACCCTGAAATCACCTTATAATATTCCAGTAAGATCCTTTATGTCAAGTCCCTTGAAAATGATGTAAGTAAATGGAAAATATTTGCAGCTATGGACTTCGAAACTTAAGAATCCTTCTCAGTGAACCCACCCTGACCATTCACTGTGATGCTCACTCCTTCCCATCAAGCTACGTGTGAGGGGCCAGGAGATACGCACCTGGCCAAGAAACAAGCCTTTTCCAGACAGTTGGTTTTCCCAATAGGAAAGACCAAAGAGCATCGCATCAGTTCTGATATCCAGTTTCCTCCTCAAGAAAAAGACTGCTTAAAGGCCTACCTTTGATCTCTAGAAAGATGTGGAGTGCAGCATGCAAAGGAGTGTCGCCTTCGGTGAGAGAAATGCCTCGAGGATCTGCACCCTTGGTCAAGAGGAGGAAGGCCAGTTCGAAGTCCTCATGCTTCAGGCACGTGGTGATCGGCCTCTCCTGGCTGCCCTGGAGACCCTCGGGGGAGGCTGGCAGAGGCAGAGAGAAGGGCACAGTCAGCTGCATCCCTGAGCGGAGGCACAGCCCTGCACCCCTGTGGGGCTGGGACCGCTTCTGCCCTTTATTCCAAAGCAAGAGCTGATGCTGATCCTACTTCCAAGCCCTCCCGCCAGCACCCTTTCTGGGAGGCAAGGGCTTCCCAGGCACCCTCAGAGGGAAAGCCTAGCTCCTCCAAGTGCCCTGTCCGTGGGCCTCGCCTCCTCTCCCATCTCTCCAGTTCCCCCTCCCATCCCGCCACAGGACCACCATCAGCACTGCCCTGGAGTAGGGACTGGCACAAACAACTGAACTCCCAGGGTTTTCCCAGCACCGTCCCCGACACACAGTGATCAAGACGTAGGAGTGTTTCACACATCCTTTGCTTCTAGGAAGCTCCTTCCCGAAAATGCCCTTCTGCCCTCATTTGTCATCTTCCCTGACACTCCTCCACCCCCCCACACCACCTTCCTTTTAGCTCAGTCCACGCCTCCCCTCTGCAGCGCAGGCTCCTTGACCTCCATCCCCTGCAGCCCTGTACCCTCATGCACGCAACGCCACCCGCAGCCATGTATTCACTCTCCATCCTTGGGTCCTAGCACCTGACCCCAGGGAGGTACTCGATAAATGCCTGCTTCGTCGGGAACAAAACAGGAATGCCATAAGCGCCTTCATTTATGGGCAAAGGTAGCAATGCTCCACACAAGGAATGGATTGAAGAATTAAAGCAGAAATAACATGGAGGCATTCCATCTACCTCTTGAAACCCATGGGCTTTGTATGGCACTTTGAGGGTTGGGACCAATGTGTCATCACTCCTTCTGAAGGTCATTTCCCCTTAAACTGCAAGGCAGGCAGAAAAGCACACAGCCAAGGCACTCTTCCAAGAGCCTGCATCTCTGAGCTCATTGAATATTCAAAACAGACCTAAGGGGGACTATTTTCACCCCCATTTTATAAATGAGGAGACAGAGGCATAAGTAGCGTGCCCAAGATCACACAGTTAGTAGTGGCCTTACTGGGGGGCGCTGGGGAGAGGGGGTGGGAGGAGGTTGGTGTTTCCAAATTAGTTTTAAAATAAAACCCAGTCCAGCAAGATGTGTGCACACTCCAGACACACATCCAGCCAAGTGTGACTGTGCTGATTAAAGCGGCAGATGTTTCCACCCACCCATTTATCTGGCTGTTTCTTTAAAAACAAACATCTCAAATCCCAATCCGTGGATCAGAAAAGAAGGCCACACAGTTTGACAAGCACCCATATGGCACACTGAGTGCAGGGAGAAGTCCAGCTGGAAGTCAGGAGGAAATGACTGCTGTGGCTACAATCGGGGCCAAGGCCCCTCCCACAGGCCTGAGGTTCCTTACACAAGAGAGAAAGGGGAGAATTCACAAAAATGCACTGACCCCAACACTGCTTCAAAATGAGAAGACGTGAGGGAGGAAGAGAATGAGGCAGAATTTAAAGGAGAAAGGGAAATCAAGAGGAAGTCCTGTGATGGCCTGGACTCCCCTGGGATGACCCCCGGATGCTCACTCAGCTTCGAGGACTCACCTCCGTGGTCTATCAGGTGGCCCAGGAGCTGGGTCCTCCGCTGGTCCCAGGTGCAGAGGTGGGGGAAGACCACACAGAGGTCGAGGTCCGAGAGGTCGCAGTCTTTGATGAGGCAGTCCCCGAGCGGCGGCTCCCCGCTCGCTTTGCGGGTCAGCAACAGAAGCACCTCGAGCCATCGCTGTTTTTCCAGTAAAAACTTGATGAAGGTGTTGGCACAGTCGCGGTTAATGTCATAGACCAGGTCAGGAGGAATTTCTTTCAAAAACAAGAATACATCACACTCCAAAGAAGGTTTATGTGGTTTCTGCCCCCAACAACAACCCAACAGATCAGTACAGAAATACCCCAAGTTCCTGGTCAGTATTTTCAGGTCCTGGGGAACCATAAACAAGTACTTAGTTACTTCGGGCATGCTACTCAACCACATGTGAGCCTCAGGGCCAGCACCAGCCACATGAGCTCCTTGGGAAGGCTGGAAATACCTTAAGGAAGTAGAGCCTTAGCCAATAGAAGAAACATCTGTGGCATTTTTTAAAAAAAGGATGATATATGCAAATAACAGTTCCAGGAGGATGCATGAAAAACAAGTAACAGAGGTGGCCTCTGGGGATGAAATTTGGGGACTGAAGTTCAGGGGTAGATGACAGATTTTTCACTGAAGAACATTCTGTGTTGATCGAATGTTTTACATGTAGATCATGACATTATTTCAAAATCAGTGTTTTAGAGGGGGGAGGGGATAGCTCAGTGGCAGGGTGTGTGCCTAGCATGCATGAGGGTCCTGGGTTCAATCCCCAGTACCTCTATCAAAACATAAAATAAATCTAATTACCTCCCCACTTCCACCAATAAAATAAAATTAAAATAAAATAAAGTGATGCTATTTTTTAAAATAAGTAATTAAATACACAAATCAATTTTTTTTAAAAGATATGAGAGAAGGGTTTTAAGGAGCCTAAATCATCCTTGGGCACGACTGAAGGCAGTGAGGAAAGTTACCCTGCAGCGAAGAAAGAAGGCGTAAGAATCTCTGAACCACTTCTTGCTTCAAAAAGTTTTTCTGCAACCGGCTTCCTGAGTTCATGTAGGTCACCAGCTGCTCGGAGGCCTTCCGGAAAATGTCGCTTTCGCTAGCGGGTCCCTCACCGTTGCTCAGACCTGCAAAACACCCCCAGGTGCTGCTTCTGACTGCAGAGATCATGGCAGCAGTAAATGGCAGAGATGACCACACCTCTCCATCCCTCTCCGTATCCATGTGACTTCCAAGTGCCAGCCACTAGAGGACCCCACCCCAGCCTCCTCCGGCACCCCCACCTCCCGGTTCTGGCCTGGCTTCAAGACTTGCCGTGACTGGGAGAAGACAGTGGATGTGATTTTTGTGTCAATTCTGAGCCTAGGATTTGAGAGGCCTTGTTTATGAGTTCTGTTCAGGTCTAGGATAGATAAGAAACAGCAGCCCAGTTGTCCAAACTGAGGCCCCTTGGATGTGAAAGAGCCTAGCTAAGATCAGCAAGAGGCAGACACCTGAAGGAGTTCCGTTAAGGCTGTGAGAATAGCCCAGTCTCAACTGCTGGATCCTGAGCTAACTAAGTGTTTGCTCCTTCAAGCTACTAAGTTTGGGGATCGTTTGTTACACAGCCATAGGTAACTGATATAATGGTTCAGGGACATGACAGCAAGAGGATGGCTTAGAGCAGCAGCAACATCCAGCCACGTGGCAGCTGCCCACACACCTTACTGACAAGCAGAAAAAGCCTAGAGTTAAGGAGCCAGCTCTCTGGGCAAAAATGGGCAGACACTATCCCCTTGCTTCAGTTTACTGAGAAAGGAGTCATGATTCAAAATCACCCACTGAAGGAAGGCTGGAAAAGGGTAAATGTTTTATTTGGTATCAGATGATACACTCAAAAAGCCCTTCTGGTTAAAATGGAATTTTACTGCACAGATAACTGGACATGTGCTTTCATACCCAGTGAGACAGGCCTGGCCCACGGCATACGTGCTATCACATTGTGAAGAGGGGAACGTGTGTTCCATGTCATGTTCTAACAGGACGGGAGCACTTTAAAGAAGATGCACTATGAAAATGAGGGGGAATAAAAGCGTCCCACCATCAGACAGGTCTCCCAGCAGCAGACCCCAAAGATCACAAACAACTGTGAGAAAAACAAAGGCTGCAATTTTGTCCTTGGTCCTGAGGACTTTGGGGCACCAGCTGCCAGAGAAGGTGGATGTGCTGCCATCTAGTGGTGGCCGGGAGAGGCAGGGAAGACAGCCAGGTAACCCTGACCACTCAGGATCCCCCGCTGGGCTACAGCTTCCAAGGCAGCTAATGAGAAAGGCAGGATCTTGGGTCCTGCTCTGAACCTGCGAAAGTAAACTCTGCATTTTAACAGGCTCCCAAATGCTTCATGTGCACATTAACATCAAGAAGCTCTGGTGTGGAGAACAGCAGAACCTTTCAGTGAGACTCTTTGTTTCTCAAGTTTTTTCTCACCTAGATGCTAAAGCCACTGAAAGACACCATCTCCATTTTCATCATAGTAAACCTCCCAAGGAGCGAAAGGTGAGAGCATCTCTTATCCTAGTCTATAAACGGGAGCGCTTGTTCATCTGGGTACAAAAGCTAGTGTCCTACTGGTGCTTTACTCAGGACCACAGATGTAAAAACCAGAACCCATCAGGTTGGACTTGGGTCAGAACTAGGGTACCAATCCCATAGCAGGAGCTCTTCTCAGAGATAATGCTTCCAATGGGCCCGGTAATGTGTGAGGATGGGGAGAGATAAAGGTCCATGCAATCTTCGTTTTTATGACTGGAGATCCACATTTATTCCCATGGCCCCAGGCCCTCTCTTTGTGTCTCCCTCCCACTATCCTCTCAGCTACTACTCTGGACAGAAACCCGTGCTAGGGCTAAAGTCTAAAACAACGCTGTCCTACACAGTGGCTGCTAACTTAATGTAAAATTAAAGTTAACTAAATCAAATTAAAATTTCAGTTCCTCAGCTGCACAAGCCACACACATTTCAAGTGCTCAGTGGCCCTATGTGACTCACGGCTAGCACATCAGACAGAGCAGTTATAGGACATCTCCATCAGTACAGAAAAGTATTGCATGGTACAGGTCTACAAAGATCCCTCAGCTCCACCTCAAGTTTTAAAGTTTGCTCAACCAACAAGATCTTAGAAACAAAATGTATGCATACGACTCTAAACAGCCATGTGATGCTCAAACGAACAGCCACATTTGATACAGAGATCATATTCCAATACCGGCTTCTACAAGGGTTCCACCACTAGTCTTCGGGAAGAGCTCTCTGGGAAGACTCCAACTCGTTACCCTGCATGGTAACTGTCATCCTCTTCCTTTCTGATTTTTTATCATTTTCTTTTGCTTTCTTTGACTTGGTGTTTCCCTAGAGTCGTTCAGTATCCCTCTAGCGTGGCAAGGAAAGCTTCGTGGTCAATGGTCTGGAAAGCTTTAAAGTAATCAGACATCCAGTAAGTTCACCGATGAGCACTGGGGGATTTAGGCTTGTCTGCATTTACTGCAACACAAACTCCCTAGCGACCCAGACGTCAAGTCTGGAACCAGGCACGTTCCCTCCTCCTGCATGTGTTTATCTGCCAGGCGCATCTGACAGCTGAATTCTGATGATTGGAAAGGGGGCCAGCTGTGATCCTACTGAGTCTCTTCTCTTGGTGCCAAACCTGGACCACAGATCTAGTTGGTGAAGGAGGAGACAGGTGAAGGGAGAGCAAGACCATCTCAGAAGATAAGACGTTTTTAGGATCAGCAGACATTCAAAGATTCATTATACAAGGAAAATGAAAAAAATCAAAACTTTAAAAACGAAACCAGAAGTTCATGATTTATACTAAAGTCCGTAACACTAAACATAACATACATCTATACATCTACAGTATTCTAAGAATTAAGGTTGTAATTAATGAACGATAAATTTGCAAGCAAACCAGCCATTTTCTACCATTAACTGGTGGTCCTTCCTTACAAGGTTATTTTAAAACCTGGAAATTCATTGGCAGAGAAATCTGGTTACTTTCAATTTCTCAAACAGTAGAAACCCTCCTGAAACAGATTACAGGCATAAGCTCTCAGGAGGCATTTCAAAATGACTTATTAAATATACTATCTCACCAAAGAAATTACAATTCTTTAAAATAGAGGTCATTTGAAAACAAAACATGATATATCACAGTTTTAAAAGAACATCCCGGAAAAACAGGACTCTACAGATACATTTCTCTCCCCTTATTCCCACATTTTCCTAGAAACAAGGACATATTTTAAATAAATAAGTAAGAATTAAAGCATAGATGGGGAAGGCAGTGGGGGAGGGGCAGTGATAAAAAGCAGCTTCAATCTTCCTCACATAAAGCTTTCCTGACCCTGGAAATTACCAAGATCCTCAGCCTGGAAGAGTCCCTCCCACTCTCCCCCAAACACACACACCCCACGTACTGCCTTCAACTTGCCGCCTACTCACCCATTCCAGGGAGGGAGTGTTTCTGGGGAAACACATCCAAGTAACTTCAATAAACGTGCACTAACCATCTATCAAGTATTAGTAAGTCTTGTCCTTCATTCATAAATACAAACCATCCAAAGATCAGAAGATAATATAGGAAAGGCAAGTGCACAAAGGAGAAGCAAGAAGACAGGTCCACTAACCCCTTAAAAACATAAATAATTCAGAGAAAAGAGGAGGATGGCCTTAAAAAAAAATTCTCAATATTCTTAAATGCCATTCAAGAAGTAGCAAAAGAACCTGAAAATATATGTGTGTGTATGTGTAACTGAATTGGTTTGCTGTACACCTGAAACTAACATTGTAAATCAACTACCCTTCAATAAAAAAAAAAATTTAAAAAAAAGGCAAATGTCAAGCACATACAAGCTGTCACAGATAAGAAACAAACAGAGAACCAGGAAGAGTTCTTAAAAATTAAAGCTGAGTTTCCAAATTAAAAAAAAAAAAGCAACAGGCAAGCAGAATTATAAAAAGAAAAGCTAAAGACCAAGTCACAGATCTGGAAAGAAAAAGGAAAACAGAAAACATTACAGAACGTAGACAGACATGTTATACATTCAGGAAGCTCAAAGAGATGCTGGAAGGGAACAAAATGATAGAAGATACTTTCCCTGGGCTAAAAAAAGTTAGATTGAAAGGGGCCAACGGGTGCCAAGAGAGAAGAATGAATGAGAACCCACACCTAGACACATCCCTGGGAAATTTCAGAACTGTAAGGACAGAAAATCTGAGAAGGGAAGATATGGGAGACTGGCATCAGACTTCTCCTCAGTAACAAGGGGAGGCTGGAACACAGAGTTCTGAGGAACAAGGTTTTACAGTGCATTTCGTAAACCTCTGAGACCATGGCTTGTCAGACACACCAGAAAAAGCCACCTGCCATTAACCGGTGACACGTCCCTGATCGTGACGCACATCCCAATGTCAGAGAAGGCAAAGGTGGGGGGAAAGTGCAACTTAGGATGGAAGAAACACAATGTCTGTATGCAGACCAGTCTCCATCAATCAAAGGATTAAGTAAAGACATTTTCAAAAACTCCTTAAGTCTACTAGGCGTATCTCCTCCGTGAAAAACTTGATTAAGTAGGTATTTAGCAGAGCAAGAGATAAATCTAGACAGACGGCCTGAGCCACAGGAGTCACAAGAACTAAAAGAAGCATAATATGCATGTGCTGTGGCCGCAGTCTAAGTAAAAGTCTAAAGAGATTCTAAGAAGGACGCATGTGTACGTACATACATACACAAACACACATATATAATAAGGCATATGTCTGTTTCATTGATCTAGGATGCTTAAAGTGTATCACACTTAAAGGGCAAAATTTTCAGGGCACCTGGTGATTCTCTTTTATGGGTCCGGCAAGGCCACTAGTTCTAGAAAGTGTAACATTTACATCATCACTCTACCTTGCGAATGCCATTTACTGGTTTTCAATGTTTAGAATCATTCTATAGATGAAGCACAGAAAACTGAGAGTTAAGGAACAGAATGTAAATGACACAAAGAACTTGACAAAATTCAACAACTAGGGCTGACTTGTTGCACTTGATCTTAAACAGCAGTCAGTCAATAGATGCTGTCCCCAGCTGACAGACTGGGAAATAGAGATACATTTTTTAAATTGGGGGCTGTGGCTGGTTCTGTGGAGTGGGCTTAATTTTTGTTATCCCCTGCTCTGTCTGATTTTTTTTTCTTTTTTAACATGTGCATTCATGGAAAAAAAAAATCACCCCTACTGCCCAAAGGTGGACCTGGCCAAGTTCCTACAACGTGGCAGACGCTCTCTCAATAAGAGTTGTCTCATTTTAGCTTTCAAGAAAAGTAAACAACTCTTCTGAAGATTGGGGGGGTCTCAATTCTGTCTTCATGTACTAAGAAAAGATAAACTGATTTGCATCTAATGTCACAGAACCAGTTTTGCCCCCTCGAAAAAGTTCATTCCCTGGAAGCTGTACCTGAGAGGTCCTTAGAACACGCAGCCAGTTTTTCCAAGTGACTGTTGATTTTCTCGATGGCTTTGAAGTTCTTGTTCCTCTTCAGGACATCCACAGGGGACCGGGACTGTCGATCCAGCAGGGTGGGGTCTGCCCCAAAGTGCAGGAGCATCTGCACATCTTCCGTTTGTCCTAGAGTGGGCCAGAGCGAGAAGGGGGTGTTGACACGGTTCCTGCCGTAAGGAGACGTCCTCACGAGTGCACTTGCTCCCGTTCCTGGCCGCAGCGGCCCCAGGCCAGGGGACCAATGTCCTTCTGCTTACAGAACCTGAAAATCCAGCTGACTCCCCAGAGCAAGGAGTCCTGTGTCGAGTGGGAAAGACAATAGCTTTTAAGAGGTTCAGTAGTGCGTTCCTCTCTACCTTTCTCCCCTCTCCTTGGCAACAAGCAAGGAGAGGGGGAATCTGGTTACTAGGCAACAGTTACAGCTGTAAGGATGACAGCAAGCTGTGACTTCAGACTTCTTTATTCTCTAGAGAGGAAACAGAATACACTTCCAGAAAAAAAAATTTTAAAAAAGCCTATCTGGGGATGAGAGAAGAAAGTGACTACTGCTTTTGCATCAGGGTCTTCTTGTCACTGTTTCCACCCCCGCAGCCCCACCCTCTGGCTACCAGCTCCGTTTGCTGCTTTGACATTATCTATTTGCCAAGCATCGGGGTATCTCTGTGATCACAGATGCAACAGCTTTCAGAATGTAACAGGTTATCCCTGGAGGCACGGAGAGTCAAATGCATCAATGCCCAATTCCCAACTCCCATAACCGTGCCTCCCCAAAATTCACCGCCTTGACAAAGCACCTCTTCTCCAGGCATCGTCCTGTTCATGGTGTTCTCTTTTCCTACCTCCCCAGTCACGGCTGCTTTTTTCCCATTTTATGAAAATAAGACAAGATAAACAAGGCATACTCCCTACTCATCAAGCATCTCCCTGTGGTAGGCAGAATTCTCAGGTAGACCCTGACATTCCCAACCCCTGGTGGACACACATATCTTCTCCTGGCTATTCATTTAACATTCATCTAAACACTGCTGTGATGAGACTCTGCAAAGGTAGTTAAGGTCCCAAAGCAGCTGACCTCAAGAAAGGGAGGTTATCCTGGCCTGATCACATGAACCCTATGAGTCAAAGGTCTAGAGGTCAGAGATGGAAGAGGGAAGAAAACCAAAGCATGAGAGGGATTTGAGGCACAAGAAGCTCTCCACTGTTAGCTGTGAAGACAGAGGGGGCCACCTGACAAAGAATGTGTGGCATGTAGAAGCTGACAGCAGCCTCTGGCTAAGAGCCAGCAAAAAAAAGGGGACCTTGGTCCTACAACCACAAGAAACTGGATTCTGCCACAATCATGTGAGCTTGAATGAAGGCTCAGTGGTCCAGATGAGAATGCAGGCCCAGCCAATACATTGACTTCAGTCTCCAGTGACCCTGAGCAGGAAACTCAGTCACATCATATCAGACTACTGACCTACAGAGCGGTGATCTAATAAATGAGTGTCATCTTAGGTCACTATATTTATGGTGATTCTTTACACAGCACAGAGAACTAATGTAATTACCAAGGTGTGCTGCCCCAAAAGATGTGAAAACACATTTCCAACACAAATGTTCATAACAGCATTACTCACAATAGCCGAAAAGTGGAAACAAGACAAACTTACTCCGGCTGACGAGCTGATAAACAAAATGTGGCAGACACACGCACGAGGGAATATTATTTGGTAATGAAAAGGGATGCAGTACTGATTCAAACCACAGGGATGAACCTTGAAAACATGATGTTCAGTGAAAGAAGCCAGACACAAAAGACCACATATCATATGGTTCCATTTATACAAAATGTCTAGAATACACAAGTCCACAGAGACAGAAAGGGGATTAGTGGTGGTTTGGGGCTGGAGAGGAAGGGGAATGGGGGAGTGACTTCTGAACAGATAAGGAGTTTCTTTTGAGGGTGATGAAAATTTCCAAAATTGACTGTGACAATGTTTGCATAACTCTGTGAATAAGCTAAAAAGCAGTGAAGTGTGCACTTTAAACAGGTGAATCATACAGCATCTGAATAAAGCTCAAAAGAATCCAGAGGAACCCCTTCTCTGATTCCTGCAGACGTGGATTCCTGGGACCCAGTCCAGTGCAGGTGACATCAGAGAAACAAAGCCCAGGGCTCCTCCTGGGACTTGCTGAAGAGAGGAAACTGCAATTTCCCAGGAGGCCCCAACAGACCAGAGGCCCCTGACCAGTGGCCTTCAGGCTGTGGCTAGTCCACAGGCCTGGTTACTTTTAAGCCAGCATTTTATAATCACAAATTTTCGTATTTGTTAAAAATCCAGCCTCTGACGTCACTTGTCAGCTGAAGATGGCAGCTGTGTCTGGTCCCCATGATCACGCCAGGCTGCAGCCACGCCAGGCACAAGCCCCCACCGCTCCCTATAACCTCCCTTCTGCTGGCGCTGAAAGTCCATCACCACGTACCATCACAGCAACCCTAAATTTTTTTAATAGAAAAAACATGCTTTTCTCTATCCAAAAAAGAAAACAAAGACTGAGAGGTATGAGGGGCTCCAGGGAAATGAGAGGCATCAGAAGGCTGTGTGGGAGCAGGTGCGCTCTTCCCATTTCACAAGGTACGTCTGCAGCAAAAGCGGCAGCTTCCCCTGCCCAGGCCAGCCTCGCTCTTTCAGGTGGCCTGTCTGGCCCCAGCAGGTACGAGAGGATGCAGTTCCTGTGTTAGCTTCTGAGCAGTCCGAGGACCATGTCTGTTGTCTGGTACATGATTTACTGCTGATCCCCAGCCTGGATTTGGTGTAGGTGTGAAGCCAGCAGAAGCACACACACACACACAGTGTGATGAGGGAGGAAGCAAATGCAGCCAGAAGCCCACATCCTTGAGACACTCAACCCCACAGAAGCCACTTAAAGCTGAGGGCTTTGACCTCACGTCCTTTCTGCGCGTTTAAACCAAGGCAAAATTCAGCCGTCTGAGACTGTCGTAGGACGGACCGGGTAAAGCGATCAGCTGTGCGGGTTCCCTCGCACCTGATGTCGCCCCACCCACGGCCCAGCCTCTGCCTAGCGTGGCCACTTACGCTTGATGAGGTACCCGGGGGAGTGGGCGGCGACGACGTGCAGGACCGTGCAGCCATCCGCATCCTTCTGGTTGATACGACCCTTCCACTCGGGCTTGTAGTCCATCAACCACCGGAAAAGATGGTTTTCCCCTGGAGGGAATTCAAATGAGTCTCTGATGTTACTTTCAACACACAGGAAAGCAGCAAAGCACATCACTGTGTACCACCCTGAGGGAACCAAATGGGGCATCCCACGCACGCAGCCACTGACCACACACAGGTGCGGGGACATAGCGTCTGTGAGTCGAAAGGACGTTACAGCAAGTTACTCATACTCAACTTCAGGCAGCTTCCCTAGAAGCAGAGGGATTCTGGTACGTGTGGTTTACTGGGAGAAGGAGAGTATCGGGGGCAGGGCGGGAGAAGGAGGCAAAGAGAGATGTGGTCTCAGCCTGACTCCACGGGGAGCTCTGGAGCAGGGACTGCTCCACAGCACTGACCCACCTTGAAGCAGGGGTCGACCTTTTGTACCCCCGCTAAGAACTATAGGGAGCTTCTGGGGAGGGAGGCGAGTTTGAGGGGAAACCTCGCTGGGAGGTGGTACCTGTTGGCAAAGAGCAGCTCTCTGGCAAAGGGGGCAGCAGGTGGGGATGGGGACACCGGTTCTAAAGAGGACCTGGGTGAGGCACCAGCGGTGCTCCATCAGTCATTGCAGGACTGCAATACTATCAACAGGACATGTCTTTAAGTTCTTCTCCCAGACTCCTTCCTTGTGGGTCCTGGGATGAAGGGAAGCCACACACTTCTGCCAACCGTGGACACCACTTGTCACCACCTCAGAGTCTTCCTCCCATAAACGAATCAGGAATAAACTTGAAGACTTGATCTTATCAATACCTGCCTATAACCACAGGAGCAAACTTAAAAAGCAGACACAGTGAGGGATCATGACGGTCATACTCAGAGGCACACCCAATTTGAAACTGGGAGGACTGGATTAGATTGCTTTCCATCAGACTTTATGCTGAACCGTTTCATCCACCAATCCCTGTGTGAGAGTAAAATCTCTTACGGATTCTCCAACATACGAAATGGGTAATCACAGAGGGAATTTGGCTGAAGCAGAGATGGGAGCCGAGGTCTTCAAGCCCCTGGCCACCCCTTCTCCCATCCTGAGGAGACAGATGCTACAGCCTAGAAGAGGAAGACTGTGTAGACAAGTCCTCGTGGCCCCTTCTCAGATGGTCTGGGTTAGGCCAACAGTGATGCCACATGTGCTTGGAAAAGAAAAACAGGCTTCTATCTAAAGTGTAAATGTGGGTATTGTATGTGTGTATGTTTTAAGGATGAAATAAAAATATTTTAAAATTTAAACCCTATAGCCAAGTGGTAAAGACTGATATAAATAATACATTACATATTATAATTATATATTATATATATTAGTATATTTAGGTTCCCACTTCTCACAGCCGTGGGCCAGGTGGCTGAGTTGCTGGCTACCTGCCTTTGATACCCATCAACAGTTTCCTCCAGCTGTTCAGCCCTGGGGGTAATTCTGCCCTCCTCCCAGGAGATATCTGGCAACGCCTGAAGACAACTGAGAGATGCAACAATCATCCATATCATATCATGTGTGTGTGTGTGTATGCATATATTTACATACATATATACGAGTCCTTTAAAGGCACATCAAGCAAACTGCATCAGTGACAGCCAGTGTTTCCCTTGGGAGTCCCCCGCCCCCACCCACAGTAGTTGGTCCTCTGGCCTAGTGAGAAAATGAACTCGGGAAAAGACCACAGCTGCCTTTGCCAGCGAGAGGAAACTCCACAGCGCTCCTGAGAGCTCTGCCCAGCCAAGGCTATCTGTCCCAAGTCCCTCCTTGGGTCCCAGGGCTCTGCTGTAGTGCCAGGATCTGCCTGGGAACACAGAATCCTTTCAATTTGGGCCTCCCGTAGCTGTGAGGTTGCAGGAGAAATAAAAATGATGCTGCTTTCCTGCTGCCTTCATTCATTTGAAGAATTAAATCATTGACCATTCAAATCATCGAATAGTCCACATTCAAGTGGCCACATTCTGGTTTCACTTGAGCTAAGCAGTCTCCGAGGTCTGAGCTGGAGGGCATCAGGCCGGGGAAGCACTCACGTGCTTGGATGCAGAGCCGCATGAGGGCGTGGAGAGGGTACGGTCCTATGGTCTCGACACTTGCCCCAATGGAGATGAGCCACTGGACTAATCTGGGCACCTGCTCCATTTTCTCATAAAGTCCAATGAAGACATATTTCTAGGGGCACAACAAAACAAAACAAAACAAAACAAAACCACAGGACGAATCATAGACAGTTACCACATCAATATGAAACTTCAAGTTCCTTCCCCATAAAGTGTGGGTACTTTTTTTTCCTTCTAGTTTTATTGAGATATAACCGACATGCAGCACCATCTAAGTGTAAGGTGTCCAGCATAGTGATCTGACTTTCAAACATTGAGAAGTGATTATCACAAGTTTAGTGAACATCCATCATCTCATGTAGATACAAAATAAAAGAAACAGAAAAAAGAAAATGATTTTGTGATGAGAACTCTGAGGATTTACTCTCTTAACGACTTTCATATGCAATGTTACATACAGCCATGTTAATTACATTTCTCATGTTGTACATGACATCCCTAGTACTTAGTTATCTTATAACTGCAAGTTTGTACCTTTTGACTGCCTTCATCCAATTCCCCTGCCCTTCTCCCCACCTATAAAGTTATTCAGAATCAGCAAAGCCCTGATTCGCTGTGGCCCAAGCCTGAGATTACCAGAAATAACAAATCTCCAGCGAGGCAGCTGAAGAGGACTGTCCCAAGTACAAGCTGGAAGTGGCCTGACTCGAAACCGTCTGTGTTGAGAAGCCACCTTACCTCAAAGAGACTTCTCAGCGATAACTCTGGGACGTGGATGTTTCTCGGGAGTCGGTCTTTTCTCGCCAATAGAAGTAGAAATGACTGAAGAGAGAGGAGAAACAGAAAAAGCTGGAACAGGACAGTTGTCCACATAGGTTACTAGAACAAAAGTAATCTTAAGCTTTAAAACACACAAATGAAAAACAAAACAAGACAATCTCTAGCCCTGTCTCTTTTCTTAAGCTACCTACCAAGCTCTTTGGCCTGAGCCATGATAATCAAAGTGTCTCTGTCTAGTCAACTTCCTGTTCTTGGGGAGAGCGAAGCTCTCTCCACATTTCCTCAAAGCCTGCTGAGGACAGGGGCAGCTGGCGGTGGGCAGCCCTGGGAGTACAGTGGCAGAAGGGATGAAAACATAATTTCCTGCAAAGTTCTTAAAGCTTAGCAAGCAGAAGAACCAAATCTTTTACAAATAGCTCATCCCAAGTAATTCCTTAGCATGTTAGTGCTTCATAAGCCCCAAGTATTTGGGGCCCGTGAGACCCTACTGAGTGGGTTGCTGGGGCCGTTCCTGTCACAGTAAGTTGACTGGGCAATTCTCTTCCCAACTCTAAGTCTTACAGTTGAATTAGCAGCTTGACATTGGCCATTGAAATTAAAAGCACTTACACTATAGAAATTAGCAAATGCTACAAAACAGGACTTCAGAGAGCCCGCTGCTAAACCACTGACCCTAAACTGAATCCCAGAGAGGCTAAGCAACTTTCCCAAGGTCACGCAGCACACCTTGAGAGGCCCCGACTGAGATCATCCAGGGATGACAGCTGGTCTAGGAGTTCTGGGCGTGGTATGGCCGTGACTGAAGACCTGGCCTCAGAATCGTTTCCCTCATGCATGCTCTTGCCAGGAGCAGTGTGACCACAAGAACTAAGCCTGTGGCCACATCTTGTTTCTGGTTTCTTTCAGTTTGACACCCACTCTTGACTGCTCATCCTGAACAGGCCCCACTTCCCAGACTCAGTCTCAGGGCTCTGACAGTCCTGATGGCTGGCCTGGCTTTTGTAAGACTCATCTGTCTCCAGTATTTGAAAACGACCTGGGCCTCACTGCTAGCAGGAGATGAGACCACCACCTTGGCTGGATTCCCGGCTCTTCCCTGTCTGGCTGGGTGACAGCATATTAGGAGCTATCTGGCCCCATTCTCTCCTTCCCCACCTAGGCTTCAGGGCTCCATTCATCCACATTCATCCCACATGGGTAAGAGGGGACATAAAAGGTTTTTTCCTGGGTGTTGTAAAGGGAAATACTTTCCTGCTAATGAGGCCTAGAGCCTCCTACCCACAGATCTACCCTAACATTTGGAATCACAGACTTTCAGAACTTTTTTAATAGAACTGGAAAAACCTCTTCTTTGTTCACCCATTTTATTCGAAAAGAAAAGATCCCAGATCTCTCGTTAACAGGGCCCTGGATGTCTGCTTCCTGGTTCCTGTAGAGTCCAGCCCACTTTGCTCACCCTTGCTGCTGCCTTCTCAAGACTGTGACAGAGGAGTGAGCTTCAGGGAGCCCATGGCTGGCTGGACTTCAGGGGGTTCCCATGAGCTCCTTAAAGCTCTACCCATCACCGTGTGTATCTGCAAAGGGAGTCTCACCGATTTCATCAGATTCCCAACAGCATCCGTGACTTTTTCAAAAATGTAAGCATCCTGTATTCTAATGTCATTCAGCCTCCTGGGTCCAGAGTCCCCTGTAGGCTGCCCTTGATTTTTGGACTGCTCAGCTTTAGCAAGCCTGCAGCCCCTTTCTAACCAAACTCCCAGCCTTGGCTGGCCCATTCTCAACACTGTGTATAGGCCACCATCAATGACACCCACTAGTCACTGGGCACCGAGCATATACATGCCAGGTGCTATAAAACCCCTTTGGCTCAGTGTCTGCACACTGTAAGCCCTCAGTGAACATTCACTAGATAGATGTCCCTTAAAGTCATATAGAAACCCCCCGAGCAGCACAAGTAGGTCATCAGCGCCCCCTGCGAGCAAACACCATAAAAAGAGGATTATGAAGATGAAGAGGTAACTGTTTATTTTCCTCAGCCTTTGGGCTTTACATTTCTTTCTTTCTTTTTTCTTTTCTTTCTCCCTTTCTTTCTTCCTTTCTTTCTCCCTTTCTTTCTTCCTTCCTTCCTTTCTTTCTTTCTTTCTTTTCTTTTCTTTCTTCTTTCTTTCTTTCCTCCCTCCTTCCCTCCCTTCCTCCCTC